AACCCAGAAATGGACCCTCAACTCTGTGGTCAACTAATCTTTGACAAAGCAGGAAAGAAGTTTCAATGGAAAAAGGACAGTCTCTGCAATAAATGTGCTGGGAAAATTGGACAGCCACATGCAGAAGAATGAAACTGGACCATTTTATTACACCATACACAAAGATAAACTCAAAATGGATGAAAGACCTAAATGTGAGACACGAATCCATCAGAATCCTAGAGGAGAACATAGGCAGCAACCTCTTTGACCTCAGAGGCAGCAAGGCAAGGGAAACAAAAGCAAAAATGAACTATGGGGACTTTATCAAGATAAAAACTTTGCGCAACAAAGAAACAGTCAACAAAACTAAAAGGCAACCTACAGAATGGGAGAAGATATTTGCAAATGTCTTATCAGATAAATAAAGATTTACCCCAAATCTATAAAGAACTTATCAAACTCAACAGCCAAAGAACAAATAATCCAATCAAGAGATGGGCAGAAGACATGAACAGACATTTCTCTAAAGAAGACATACAATTGGCCAACAGACACATGAAAAAATACTAGTAAAAAATACTAGTGATGCTTAACATCACTAAGCATCAGGGAAATACAGATCAAAACCACAATGAGATACCACCTCATACCAGTCAGAATGGCTAAAATGAACAACTCAGGAAACAACAGATGTTGGTGAGGATGTGGAGAAAGGGGAACCCTCTTAACACTGTTGGTGGGAATGCAAGCAGGTGCAACCACTCTGGAAAACAGTATGGAAATTCCTCAAAAAGTTGAAAATAGAGCTACCCTATGACCCAGCAATTGTACTGCTTGGTATTTATACAAACGATACAAACCTAGTGATTTGAAGGGGCACATGCACCCCAATGTTTATAGCAGCAATGTCCACAATAGCCAAAATATGGAAAGAGCCCAGATGTTGACCCACAGATGAATGGATAAGATGTGGTATATATATAAACAATGGAATATTACTCAGTCATCAAAAAGAATAACATCTTGCCATTTGCAACAATGTGGATGGAACTAGAGGGTATTATGCTAAGTGAAATAAGTCAGTCAGAGAAAGACAAATATCCTATGATCTCACTCATATGTGGAATTCAAGAAGCAAAACTGATGAACATAGGGGAAGGGAAGGAAAAATAAAATAAGATGAAAATAAAGAGGGAGGCAAACCATAAGAGATGGTGAACTCCAGGAAATAAACTGAGGGCTGCTGGAGGGGTGGTGGGTGGGGGGATGGGGTAACTGGGTGATGGACATTAAGGAGGGCACTTGATGTGTAATGAGCATTGGGTGTTATATGCAACTGATGAATCACTAAATTCTACCCCTGGAACTAATAATACAGTATATTTTAACTTAATTGAATTTAAATAAATAATTTTTTAAAAAAAGAATTTCCTTTGTGAGGACAGGAATTTAACAGAGACCAACTGAAAACAATTGCAGAGAGACTCTTTTAACGTGCAAATAAAGCAACTCCTGTGGAGAGAACATGGTGTAGTACAGAAAAGATGAGCCTGGGAAACAAAACAGATCTGCTTCTGGAACTCAACTCTTGTCACTTTGTAACTGAGCTATCTTATGCAAGCTTAATCACTCCTGAGCCTCGACTTCCAAATTTATGAAATGGAAATAACATTTAGTCTCAGGACTGATTCAGACCTTTTGAAAGAACCTATGGAGTCCATGGCACGTATTCCTTGCTTAATAAGCATTGGTTCCCTTCTCTCATTTTCAAATAATTAATATTGCACACACCTGAATTGGTTTCCCTTGTGAGATAGTCCCACTACAGGGTTGTAGGTAAAAGCTGGAAAAATACTTGTGGGGAATAGCATGCTAGAAACACCAGCCTTAATGTGATATTGGCCTAGGTAGGCTCAAATGTTCCTTCATATTTTAATATTCTATAACCCCATGATTATGAAGCAGAATTTTCCAGGTCTGACAGGTCCCTAGTGCTGTGAGAAGCCCCACCCTGGCAAAGTAAAGGGCCCTGTGGCAAAGTCTGACTGAGAACAGCTGCTTGCTGTATCCCCACAAAGATCCATAATGTACATCACATGGTAAAAAAAAAAAAAAAAAAAGAACAGACTGAGACATCCCACCAGCAAAGAAAAGCCAGTCTTTGCCTAAACATATCTGACCAAGGAATCCTCCTTCCCCTCCATAATACCTATTAATGTCTAGTTGAATTAATGTTCCAAAGACCACACATAGGGAAAAAAGCTGGTATTATCTCAGGTGTAATATATCTCTCGTCCCATTTAAGTGATTCCCCAGGACAAGAGTTATGGGTCATCCTTTCAGTTCAGAGTTTCTACCATCTAAAAAGATGGGCTTGAAGATCTGAGGCTGGGAGTCCCTGGTTACCTTGGGCAGGTAGTATCCAGCAAGCGTGGTATCACCTGTCACTTCCCTGGGCACATTCAGGGGGATGATGTTTCCCATTCTCTGCACCTCATGAATGACGGCATTGGTATAGGGCATGGACTCTCGAGTGGCTATACTTGGCAGCTGTGACCAGCCAATCACCCTGTCGATCTCAGCGTGGACTTTTTCTGGAAAAGAAGGTTCTATTATTCTATTATTCCACAACCTTCCTTAAGCCTGATTAAGCTGAAGAATGGAATAATCAGGATCAAAGTGGCAAAAAAAAAAAAAAGGCTAAAACTATAGCAGGCACTGTAGACGTTGGTTTCTCAGGAGGTATTTCAGAGTGAAAAGTGGGCCTGGGTTTTAGACATATCTGGTTGCGAACTCTTGCTCTGAAACATTACTCTTGCAAGTTACTTAAACTCTTTGAGCCTCAGTTTTCTCTTATTAGTGAGGATAATCTACATTCCTCTTACGTCTTGAGATTTACATGAACCGATTTAGGTGAGCACCCAACAAATCAAAGAAATTTCTAATTGTGCCCCAATATACCTCTTTTCCTCTTTTTTTCTACAATAATAGAGATGTTAGCTGTACACCCGGTTGCCCAGCTATAGACTACATTTCCCAGATTCCCTTGTGACTAAGTATGACCATGTGACTAAGTTCTGGTCAATAGAATATCTGTAGAACGTATGTTTAATACTTAAAACATGTCCTTAAAGGAAGGGTGTGTGTTTCCTTCTTCTTCCCTTCCTACTCGTGGAAAGGCAGCCCTTGAGGTGAGTCATCTTTGACCTTGCAAACAAGGGCACCATTCTAGATACAAAAGAGCAACATATTGGAAGGAGCTTAGAACCCAAAGGGCTCTGCAGAGTCCAGCTTAGGTTTCTTAACTTCAGAGAGAAATAGAGAAGGAGAATTTCTTTTTTACTGGCCATTTAAAACATTTTTAAAGTTGTGGTAAAACATACATGACAAAAAATTTACCGTGTTAACCATATTTAAGCATATAGTTTAATGATGTTACATATACGTTCACATTGTGCAACCAATCTCCAGAACTTTTTATCTTGAAAAACTGAAACTGTACATCCGTTAAACCATAACTTCTCATTTTCTCCTACCCCAAGCCCTTGGAAACCAACATTCTACTTTCTGTTTCTATGAATTTGTCTACTCTAGAAATCTCATATAAATGGAATTATACAGTATATGTCTTTTTGTGACTGTATTATTTAACTTGGCATGATGTCCTCAAGGTTCATCCGTGTTAGAGCATGCGTCAGAATTTACTTCCTGTTTAAGGATGAATAATATTCCACTGTATTCCATATTTTGTTTATCCATTCTTCCATTGATGGACACTTGGGTTGCTTCCACCTTAGTTTCTGTGAATAAAGTTGCTATGAAGATGGGTATAAACATCTGTAATTTTAAGCTATTGTTATTTTAGAGACCGTATTACAGAAGCCAAATCTATATTCTAAAATGAGGTAGCTTTTCAGCTTTTTAGAAAATGTAATTCATAGTTCCAAAAGCATTTTACATCATGATTCAAGACACATAAACATAGGTATACACACATATAAAACATACTTCTATTTATAATTATGGAAAGAAATAAAGTTTCATGAACAAACTTAGTACATGGAAAGTACTCTGATCTTTTCTATTCTATTTTTATTTTAGGAAGAAATGTTGGTCTTGATCTACTAAATTGATTTTATGTCCCATTAATAAACTGTTACCCACAGTTTGAAAAACTGTATCCTAATATCCCATCTCTCATATGCTCAAACTGTTCTGGGTCCTAGAGGAAAAAAAAAAAAGATTATAACAGTCACTGTCTTTGAATGGACAACAGTCTTTGGGGAAGACATATGAATAATGTGCAATCAGCACAGTAGTGGAGGTATGTTAGGTCATCTCTAGAGGAGGAAAATAATCCTAATAATAATAAAGTCAACTTTAGAGGAAGGAGTTTCCTACAAGCATGGGGGAACATCTTAGAGGAGGTTGTATTTGAGCAGATTCTTCAAGCGCACCTGATGACTGACCATGTAGATAAATTGGGGAACTACGCAATTGGTAGAGGGAAGAGCAGGCCTGATGGCAGAGGCATAAATAAGGACAGTGCAAAGGAAACAACATGTAATTTAGTGAGGCCACTATGCAGGGTGGGTGGAGCTGAGGCTGGACAGACAGAAGGAGGCACATCAGAGAGCATGATATGCCAGACTAAGGAGTTTGAACATTCCCCACAGGGCAATGAAAGACATTACTTAAAAGGATGGAAGGCTGTAACTAGATTTCATGTAAGAATATAAGTCTTTTCCTGGAACTCACCACAATGTCAATTGACTTCATTGTTTCCCCTCTAGACTCTGAGTGTCCTGAGGGCAGGGACTCTGTTATATTGGTATGATGTGAACCCATCAGAATCCTAACAGAAAAACCAAAGAAGGTACCCGTTCTTAAGTCCACATCACCTCATGACTGTCCTATCTTTTCATTCTACCATGCTATCTTCTAGCCCCAATTTGGGGGAAGTATGCTCCAGGAGGCAGCATTCTGTCCTGGCCCAGGCACACTCACTGACATGCTCACCTTGGATTTCTGGGTTGAGGGCCAAGTAAAGCAGACCCCAGCGCAGTGTTGTTGAAGTTGTCTCGGTTCCAGCAAAGAAGAGGTCCAGGGTGCTATAGATGAGGTTTTCTTCATGGAAACTTGAAGTAGCATTGCCCCTATTCTAGAAAGCACAATGTTTACTGGTTTATTCAGTTGGTTCTTGGTTGCTACAATACACCGGGGCTTCATCCTGGGGCGAGACCTTGGAACAAAAGATCCCCAGGAAAAATATCTTTCCCTTTGACCATCTCAAGAGATAGAGGCTTATTACAGCGACATCACTAGCATCCTCCTGCCCCAAGTAGTGGAAGCTTTTGTTAGCTTTGGTGGATGAAAATCAAGACAATTCTTTAGTTTATGCCTAAATTTGGGAGATCTATTAGTACAGTGGAAAGAGAAACAGTTTAGTAGAAAGACAGGCCTGGACTCCAGTATTAGCTACATCGTTCACTATCTGCATGACCTAGGGCAAGTCACTTAATCTCTCTGCACCTCAGTTTCCTGTTTCAGAAAATAGAAATGAAATACACATGCCCTTTAAGATGGCATTATGAGTTACATGAGATGTAAAGAGCACGTTACAAATACTCAACACATGCTTGTATTGATACCAGGAAGAATAAACTGAATTCCTCTTATGTAAACCAATTCTCATATCTCCCCGTTAATCTCTTCCTTTCTAGGTGAAACCACTCTGATTCCATCAACCATTCCTCACAGCACTGCATCATCTTTATCACCTTCCCCTGGAAGCTTCAGTTTGTCAACAATCCTCTCAATGTGTGGCCCCATACCTGCACAACATTTAGCTAGTGAAGTCTCCTCCTCTGTGGAGAGATCGATGCTTCTACTAATGTTATCCAATACAGTGAAATAAAAGAAGGGATGGATAGAAATCCACCATTCTGTCAATTCCAAGAGGAGGCTCAACTAATCTGATGAAAGATTATGACACTGACACTGATGCATGGATGTATATTGACCACAGGGGTACTGTGCTAAAGGCTATACAACCAATTTGGCCTTTCCCTGCACCTTTCCCATAATGTTGGAAAGTGGATGGTAGGAAGATCAGGGAGGAAAGCAAAAGTTCCACTCGGGCCCTAAGCCTGAACTCTGGCATCCAAATCAGCCTTTTCTTGTGTTCTGTGCTGGGGGTTGAGGGAAGGGGCAGGCAACTGGGCACAGGTCCAACTAAAAATGAAAGAGTCCTTTGAAGCTCATTTGTTAGTTTTCCTTTTGTATATAGCTCCTTCAGATACGGGTAAAGGGCAGAGAACAGAAGATGAACAGGCAGTATTTGGGCATCCTCAAGGCCTCAAGCCAAATACCATTCAACCCCTGTCTTTTTTTTTTTTAACTTATTTTTTATTTAAATTCAATTAGTCAACATCTAGTGTATCATTAGTTTCAGATGTAGAGTTCAGTTATTTATCCATTGCATATAACACCCAGTGCCCATCAACACCTATCTTTATTTCTACTTACCTTGTCAATCCTGAGTTAATGCTGCTCCTATACTCTATGAAATGCTGCCTCTATTTTGACTCCCCTGTGATAAACGAAATAATGACCCACCAAGATGTCCATATCTTAATCTCTGAAATCTGTGGATATTACCTTATATGGCAAAAGGGACTTTGTAGATATGATTAAGTTAAGAATCTTGATGTGGGAAGATTATTCTGGATAACTCAAAGTCATTACAAGAGTCTTTATAAGATGGAGGCAAGGGAGTCATAAAGAGAAGATGGAAAGATGAAAGCAGAGAAAATGCTACATACTGGCTTTGAAGATGGAAAAAGGGGCCATAAGCCAAGGCAGCCTCTAGAAGGAAAAATCAAGGAAACAGATTCTTTCTTAGAGTCTCCAGAGGGAACCAGCCCTGCCAACACCCTGATTTTAGCCCAGTGAAACTGATTTCGGATTTCTGACCTCCAGGACTGTAAGAGAATAAGTCTGTGTTGTTTGGAATCCCCAGGTTTGTGGTAATTTGTTATGGCAGCAATGGGACACTAATATACCCCCATTTGCTCTTTAAGAACAAAGGAACAGGGGCGCCTGGGTGGCTCAGTCGTTAAGTGTCTGCCTTCGGCTCAGGTCATGATTAAAAAAAAAAAGAACAAAGAAACAACTTTGGTTCCCTTACCTTTTCCATTTCCTTAAGGTAAGCGTCAATAAAATCTCTTGGTTCAGCAGGATTCCAGTCTCTCCTGTGGTTTTCAGTCATATGAGCAATGAACAATTTCAGTTTCTCCCAGTTGCTAAAGAGTGTTTGATGAGGTCCAGGAAGAAATTTCATAATCCATGGACAGATGTTGTAGAGCTAATTGAGGAAAAACAAAACACTCATAGAGACAACTGGATGCCCATTTTTCAAGACAAAATAATCGATATTCTCTTTCTATCTTTCATTTACTTGCTCTTAAACCTTGGGTAGCCTTGACTCTTCTCTCTCACCCTCTTCTCTCCTGCTAGCAAAGCATTTCAGCACTCCATCCAAAGTGTATCTAGTTTCACACCGCATCTCACCCCCCCCCAGCCATGTTGTTCCCTAGTACAAACCAGCAGCATTTCTTACCTGGATGCTGTGATAGCCTCCATCAGCTTCACTGATTCCATTCTTAACCCACTCACAGTCTGTTTTCCACAGAGCTGCCAGGGGCATCATTTAATAGTTTAATCAGATAATTTCACTCCTTGGCTCTCAATCCTCCAATGACTTTCTATGACTCTCAGACAAAGCTCTGCATCATTCTCCTGACATACAAGCTCTGCATGCACCAGCCCCCTGCCCCACACCTGTCACCTCCTTTGCTATTACTCCCCGCCATCGTACTCTCTCTTACTCTTACTCTAGTGCAGCACCACAGTTCTACCTAGAACGCTCTTCCTCTGAAATCTGCATAACTTCAACCCCTCATTTCATTAAAGTGCTGCTCAAATGTCACCGCCTTGGGGTGGTCTTAACCTGATGATCCTATAAGGACCCCTGCCACCCTCTCTCCATTCCCTTATCCTGTTTCATTTTCCTTCATGGTAATTACCACTAATACATGTGTGTGTGTAAGATATATATACATGTCTTATGTATATGTATTTGCCCCGCTATGATGCAATCTTCATGTAGGTAAGACGTATTTTACTGAAATAAAGTATTTTTAAAAATATTTTCTCTAATAATATCTGGTAGAAAGAAGCAGGACATAATGGAAAGTCACCTAGACTTAAAATGAGACAGATACAGGTCTATTAGCTCTGCTGTTTTCTAGCTATAATAGTTTGGTGATGATGATGATGATGATGATGATGATGATGATGATGATGATACAATTTGTTGCTCCTTAGTTTAACTAGCTGCCAGTGGGGCTCTGGGATTATTCCGGTGACTGAATGACATGAGGTCCATACAGCACCTAGCACAGAGCCAGTGGGCCACTATCTGGATTAGCTTACACACTCCTATATCTGCTTGTACACACCATGATGCTTCATTTCATTTTTAAAGGGGATTTTGGTAAAAATTAACTGAGATAAAGAATGTATATTTGTCCATCGAGATGCTTGGGACTCCAAGAAATGCTTAATAACCTTACCTTACTGCCCCTTCTTACCTTCTCAGGAATTACTTTTCCCTGGGGAAAATCAGCTGGGTACCCACTGAACTCTTATGACTTCCTGTCTTAATAGGGCTGAAGAACATGGAATTATTGAATTGGTAATTACTGTTATTAGAGATGAGAACAAGGAATTCAAAAGTACCTCTGACAATGATAATAATAATAATAGCTCACATTCATTACACCCTTTGAATGTGCCAGGACTCATGCTAACTGCTTTATTGGTTTTGATGCGATGGGTCCATAAAGCTCCAGGCAAAGATGCTTGTCAGGAATAAATAAAAATAAATCCACTTCTAGATACTAGAGAGGTGGCGTTAATAGGGCCACTTTTCCCATAGAAGTGTCTTCCAAATCCAGGAAAGTGGTTGAGAGACCAAGAAGATGAGCAGAGTTTCTGACAGACTCACAGGCCCAGCGGGACAAAATGGAGAGCAGCGTCCACCAAAGGAAGGGGTGAAGTTTGAACCCCAAAGGTCTATACCCTATGGAATGGGAAGATTGATAATGTCAAGTGTGGATGGGCATGTAAGTAGTGTAACTGCTTTCGAAACCTTTAGGCATCTTTTATGTCCAGGTATAAATTCAAGAGAAATGAGTGGGCATGTCCACAGATGAACAACTGTCCAAGAATGTTCATGGCAGCTAATCATAACATCCCAAACTGGAAACAACCCAAACGTTCATCAATAGAGAATAGAGCAACAAACAGTGCCATATTCATACAATGAAATACTATTCAGAATTTAAAAAAGAAAAGAGCAACTGACACAGATAAATCTGCAAACAATCTGCTGAGGGAGAAGCCAATCACAGAAGAGTACTTCTGGGGCAGCAGAGTGGCTGGATTAGGGAAGGACATAGAAGGGCAGGACTCAAAGGCAATGGCAATATCGTGTTTTTAAATAAAACAACATGGATGTATAGGTGTATGGCATGTAAAGTTTTACACTTCACATGCATGTTAGAAATGTTCTTTGTATGCAGTAAATATCCGATAATATTATCAAAAAACACTAAAGTCAACAGATGGATTTTAAATAAGTTTGAGTGGAAGTCAATTGTAAAAGGTGATACTTCAGCTTAAACAAAAAGGTGGTATTTTAGTAAGAACTCATCTGTGTCTGACATCAGCTCCAATATTCTTACCCAAGATGTAGAAAGAAAACCCCTTACCTGGCATCTCATTGATGCCTCCAGACACGTGACGTCATCCAGCAACCTCAGCAATTCCTGAAACTGTTCATCCTCGTACTCAAAGCGCTTCCCAAAGGTGATAGAGCAAATAATATTGGAAACTGCACTGTTCATCTTGAAGTGAGGGTTGAAAGGCTGTCCTGGAGGTGAAACAAGAGATGGAACCTTTAGATTAGTTTGTTTCTATTTTCTACTAAGAGTCTGCTCTCCATGACATTTACCATACTGAGTATATACTGCCTGTGAAGCTCTGGCCACAGCCCCCTACACAGGGTCTAACATGTAGCAAGTACTCGGTCAATACCTGGGAAGTCAAACTGATGACCAGGGTTTAAAATCAGTAATGTGTTTAATACCAGTTTTCTTGTGCTTAATCCTAGAGCTCCATGAAGGCGGGGTCATGGTTAGTTGTTCACTGTAATATTCTTAGTGGCTGGCATGGTGCTGGGCACAGGATATGTCCTTAGGCACTTAATAAGTATCTGTTCAGTGAATGAATGAGTCACAATCTCCTGTACCTGTCCTAGGAAACAACTCACCATTCTCTTCTTCTATCGCCTGGATGAGGTGATGGGCTTCTTCCTGAATGCGTTCCTCTAAGCTCTTCCTTCCTAGACCAAAGTTCCTTAGGGTCGCCAGGGTGAACCTTCTTTGCTCCTTCCATGTTTGGCCACTGGACATGATCAATCCTGGAAAAAAAAAAGCCAACATTATGATATTCTTATTCTATTATGTAAATATCTGGCAAATGGTATGGAAATATGTATTGGTGGGAAGAAGAAGGGCATTAAGTCACTTGAAAACTATTCAGGGAAATAATCCCAAGGTAGTGGATATAGTGGCCAGCATTATTGCTTGTAGTGCAGGGACTTGAGTGTTTTTACTGCATTATGTAAATTAGCACTTACAGAAACTCTATGAGATAGGTATAATCCTTACTCCCCTCTCCCATTTTGCTGACGAGAAAACTGAGGCACAAAAGAAACTTTTCAGGGTCACAGTGAGCAGCTGAAGAGGCATTCAAATTCAGGTTTGCTGGATTCCAAAGCCCCTGCTTTGATTACTAGTCACATAAGTATACTGAAATACTTGTTTTATGCTACACACTAAGAATGCAGTCATGGATAAGATAAAATACAACTCAAAAGGCGGCAAAGCTTTCTAGGAGAGTCTTATCTAAACTGGACCTTGAAAGATGAAGGAATGACTCAAGAAAGCAAGGAAGAGTGACTATTCCATGCAGAAAGAATAGCACATGGAAAGGCAAAGAAAAAAAAAAAAAACCAACTTGTTATGTTCAACAATTCATCATTTGTTTTACAACACAGATAAGGCCACCCTCCTTTCTTTTCTTCATCTCCAGAGTACTCTCTAACTCCTTTTAGTGCCTGGCTTTGGCCTCCACCATCTCCACGAGATGGCCATCTTTGTCAAATCCAGGGAAACTTTTCAACCTTATCTTTCTTGATCTTTTAGCAGCACGAGGCACTTCTCTCCTGAAGCCCTCCCTTCCAGAGGTGCTCAGGACAGCACACCCTCCAGATTTTCCTCCTTCTCATATCTTTTGCTGGCTCATCTTCTTCTATCAAATTTTAAAATGATGGAGTTCTTCAAGATAAGGTATAAAGCCTCTTCTCTTCTTCCCTGAAACCCCATTCCTGGGAAATCTCAACTCCAAAAGTTTTGGAGATCTATTGATAATGACATCTATTGATAGTGACAATTTATTTCTGTCCCTGAGCTCCAGACACATACACACAACTGTTTGCCTGACTTTGCCCACTTAAAAGCCTTTCAAACTCAGCATATCCATGATTGGATTCATGATGTTCTCCGTACAACTCCACACCCAAACCAAACTACATACCTGTCCTCCTCCAAATATTCCTCCTTTCCATCATCTACCCACTTGGGTGTCTACCTCAATACCTTATTCTGCTTTCCTTCTCCCTCTATTTGGGTCATCATATCTTATTGGATTTACCCCCCTGGATACCTTAAATTCATGTACCTTCACTGCTACTAACCTGGTCTAGTCTACTCTATTGTCATTTCTTGCCATCTCCCTAGTCTAAGCTACAACCTTCTCTAACCTAAAATGCTACCATAGTCTCTTGTTCCCTGTATACAGTCTTCTACACTGCAACCTACATAAGTTTTTAAAATGTACAATGTAAATATGGTGATTCCTTTCTCTACTTAAAATCATTTAAGAGTTTCCATTGTTATTAACATAAAACCCAACACCCTTAACAAGAACTTGCATGAACAATTCTTGGCCAAGCTCAGCAGCTTTATCTTCCTTTAATTATCTCCATTTAATCCCTGTACTTGCCACACTGGCCACCTTTTACTTCCTCAAGTTCGTTGTCCTTCTTCCCACCTCAGGGACTTTTCCTATTCTATTCCATCTGCCCGATTGCCTCTTCACTTTGTTAAATTGATTGTCATTTATTTACATTAGCTTTCTTTGAATCCCAGGATTAGATTAGATTCCCCCTAATAAATGCATCCTGCACATATCTTCATAAGACTAATGCTTTAAGTTATTAGAGCTAATTGATACTGTTTTTCTGAATAGAATATAAGTTACCTAAGGACATGGATTTTATCTGCATTACTCACGGTTGGTTGGTTGCCTAGCACTGGGCTTCACATAGTAAATGGAGTAAGTGGATGTAGAGTTGGAAGGTAAGCTATTTCAAAAAGGTATTGGGAAGCACCTGAAAAAACGGTACTTGGGTAGAGTACTAGATTTGAGCTATCCATTTAGATTTTTAAATGTTTACATTTATTTATTTATTTGTTTATTTATTTATTTGTAAAATGAATTTTCTAAGAAATAATTACTAAAACTAATTTAAGAAATAACAGAAAAAACTTGAATATATCTATATAACCAATAAAGAAACTGAAAAAACATTTTTTAAAATTTTTGGGTGGTGTTTACAGAGATTTTATTTATTTATTATTTATTTATTTATTTTTATTATTATGTTCAGTTAGCCAACATAGAGTAGTGTTTGCATTTATTTAATGATAATTTTAAGTATTCTTGCCAAACTGTTCTAACACAGAATGGAAGGCTTGAGATACTCTGTGGGAACAGCCCTACCAAGAAAGCATAAGGAACTTGAGGCAAGAAGAGGGACTTACGTAAGCAGCAGAAGGAAGCAGATCTACATTGATTTGCCTAAGGGAAGAGATTGAAGCACGAAGCAGAAAGAGGGAGCAAGAATGCATTGCCTCTTCCTCTGCTATCACTGAGTAATGCAGTTACTTGTTTATCAGTGTGTCCAGAGTGAGTTCATGCAGGAGACACAGCTTCTTCCAAATCCCTGACAGGACCTGCCAAGTTCTCTAAGGGGGTGCCTTCAATAGGGAAATGTGGGCATCCAGCATCCAGCTTTCTTTAATTTCAAGAATTTTATAATGGGCCTGCTCCCTGAGAGTGTTGGAGAATTATAGTCACAGAGGCACCTTTAACAGACCATAAAATATCAAACATAGCCATCTTACATTGGTTAAGAAACTTACCATTGTTCTTGAAGATACGTTCTCGGATAGGAGTCATAGGGCGGTTCACAAAGACTTGGTTCTGGTCGATAAGGACTTCTTTGATCAAGGGCAATCCAGTTATAACAACTACAGGCAAGTCACCTAGCTGCATGCTCAGAATGTTTCCATATTTCTTCACAAGCTGAAAAATAGTTAAATAGGCACAGTTGAATATGCACATGTCTGTGTGTCTGGGAATGGAGGGTATATGTGTAGCTGGGGAAGATCTTGTACTGAGGAGAGTCTGTGTGCACCTTGGCATGATGGGAGCTTTTCTCCCGTTTCCTTTTCCCCTTCTCTCAACTAGACTCGGATTGAATTCACTACAGGATGTGGATGTTCCTTATAAATATTCATTCATATATTCAACCTACACAAATTGAGTGAGCATCTACCACGTTCCCAAGAACGAGGTATGAAGATGTAACTATAATAAAACAAACAAGGTCTCCAACCCTGAAGCATCTTAGAGTCTAGTGAGGGGAGAGAATTCAGAATATGTGACTAGCCAAAGAAGGCTGATATACTTAGTGTAAGTCTGGGGTTGCAAGCATGGACTTTTTAGCAAATCATGACTGTTGAAGTAGAAGAGAATGTCCCCTTCCTCAACACGTGCTAGCTGACTGAAAATTCTTGTCATAGTTGGGGCCAGTTATGCAGAAAAGCACTCTAGTTCTGGAGCTATGTGGGCACTTTAGCTCTATGGTTCACTAGCTGTGGGCTCTTGGGAAAGTTTCTTCACTTTTTTTTTTTTGAGCCCCAACTACAGAAAGGAAAGAATTATTCCTCCCTCAAAGGGTTTGGTGAGGAAGAATAAAAGCAACAGTGTGAAAGGCACTTGGTTTTCTGGTACCTGGCACACAACTGCTTGAGTCCCTGAGGAATGATTGGGCTCATGGCAACAGAGAGGATGAGAGCACATAGATGATGTACTGGAGGAAGGCACATGGACACTGGGTGTCATGTGAAGCACATTTCACTGTTTATTTCATTTAATCTCACAACCGCCCTGTGGTATTAATGATTTTCCTTGTCTTTCAGAAAAGGAAAATGAGTCGTAGCCCAAGTAATGTCACCAAGGTGACAAAGTTATTGAGTGGTGGAGGGAATTTGTCAGGCATTGTGTGTGATTTGTGGACAAAGACATGAGCCTGAGAAGGCACCAGGCCCTTAGAGTTTAGTGGGAGGGAAAGAAAGGGAGGGAGGGAGGGAGGGAGTGGGAGGGAGAGAATGGAAAATTGTGTAGTGTGTCACAAGTATGCACAAATATGCAGGTATGTGCAAGTGGGTTGGATGAGTGAATGGCTACTAATCAAGGTATTTCCTGACTTGTTCATTCAAGAGATGACTCTGAGTAGATCCTACCCTTGCCTCTCGTCTACCCAGGCTGTGGCTAGTTGCAGGCAGTGGTACCAAGCAGAAGCGTTCCATTTCCTCCGCATGTCTGTGGTCCCTCCTTCCCAATCCCTACGCACTCATGCTCCCCTTTGCTATTCTCAGGGCCTTGACCCTCATCAGAGCAAATGCAATGGATTACACCAGTCTCATTCCACCACCCTGCTCCCACATTAAAAACCAAGCCTGAACTCAGTGCTTCCCTTGTCCTTTTATCCCAGAGTCTTCCATCAATCTTTGTTCATCTCTAGCACAGTATGTCCTATCTTGCTGGAAAGGGTGGAGCCAAGATTTGCTTAGAAATGGCAGGAATGGGTCCATGAAAATCAAGCAAAAGCTTTTTGTTTGTTTGTTTTATCTTGCTGACTGCCTGAATGAATTTCTTAGGGCTTTATAAAAAGGATTTCTTGACTAATTTTGAATATTCAGGAAGGATTTTTTTGGAATGGTTAAAAATCTCAGGTTAAGCTAAATGACTCCTAACTGACGATGTGCATATACAACCTAGAATCTCAGAATATATGACAATGTGCATATACAACCTAGAATCTTGTACTTGGCAGGGACATAGCACTCCACTAGTATTTACTGAAATGAACTCTTTCAGAATTTCAGCTCTACCAGCTCTCTGCCCATGTATATTTCTAGTCCAAAAGAACTGGACCAGAAACTTTCACAGCATAGTCAATTGTAAACATAGATAGATCAAATGACCTCCCAGAGCCCCCTTAATGACTATGGTGGGGTCTAACAGCTCTCACATGCACTGTGCCCATCATCTTGCCCAACACTTTACAGGATGTAAATGTGTGACACACCAGGCATCTGAAGATGTCATAAAATAGAGCATACTGTCCAACGTACAACAATAACCCAAGTCACTACAAAAATGAGAGAGCAAGAGAACAAAAGAGGTTAAAAATACGATGATTCAGGAGGCTAAAATAGGCTTAATATCAGAAAAGAAAATAGAAAAATAAAGAGAAAAGAATTCACACGAACTATAAAAGGCGAACAAAAGTAATAGGAGACAGAAATTTAAGACAAATGGTCAAAATTCCAAATGTGGGATTAAGTACTTACATAATAAGGTGGAACAAAATTAATGTTGAGAAAAAAGAAAAATTAGAAGGGTTAGTGAGACAAGAGCTTGAACCATGATACCCAAGAGACAGACAACTGGGAGAGATTCCACTTCTAAATTCTTAAACTCAAAAACCCACAGAACAAAGACACAAAGAGAGGAAAAGGAAAAGAGGAAAAGTGTAGCAATTCTCATTTCCCGGGCAGCAGGGGAGAAGGTCTGCTCCTCTGAACTCTGACCGGCCCTGAGCAGTGTGTGTGTGTGTGCGCATATGTGCACATATCATTCTAATAGACAAAAAAATGCATGCTGTTTCTATATGTTACTAGGGTTTAACATCTTTTCCCTAATATATATGTATAATATATATTATATTTTAAAAATTGTCTGTTTATGTCTTCTAACTATTTTTTAATTGGGAAGTTCAACTTTTTACTCACTGATAGGTAGAAGCTCTAATAAAAAGTTATGAATGGGAATATTTTTATTTTATTACACAGGAGTCTGGAGAGATATATACCAAATCCTATAGAGGAATTGCTCAGCATGTTTGGGGGGCTGGGTTGGCACAAGGAGGGGCAAGATTTTCTCCCTCTCACTCACTAGTTGTATTCTTAAATGTTTTCTTAATGTGTTTGTATTGCTTTTATTTCTTTTATTCCTTTTTTTTCTTTTTTAAAGATTTTATTTATTTGTCAGAGAGAGAGAGAGAGAGAGCAGAACCAGGGGGAGCGGCAGGCAGAGGGAGAAGCAGGCTCCCTGCTGAGCAAGGAGCCTGATGTGGGGCTTGATCCCAGGATCATGACCTGAGTCAAAGGCAGACGCTTAACTGGCTGAGCCACCCAGGTGCCCCTGTATTGCTTTTATAGTTCAAAAGTATTTCTATCTGATGAAGAAAGAA